ACCTTGATTGATCCACCGATGTAGTCTCTTAAAATTACCATCGAGGGCACGAAGCACGTTCTACCTACGGGCCGGCAGCACTATCTGGGATTTGTTTGGTGGCAATATGGTATTTCAGCTATTGGCGTCAGCCAAAATACCGTGCGCGCCTTTTCCCTGCACAGGAGGGAGCGAATCCAAAACGGGGCTTATTCAAGGATAGCCCAGCAGGTTTGCAACTCCCGAGGGTATTCATTATTCAGGGGGCCATGTGAGCAAAAGGAGATCGACCTTCTGAGAAGACGCCCTCCGGATGTTTGATGCTTTGCCACGTCGGCACGGAAAGGCTTGCCCGCTACATAGCCTGGCTTGTTTCGGAAAGGTAATATGGGATGTCCAAAACTGGAAAATCCCTTTGGGATGTTGCAAGCTAAGCCACAAAGAAAGCGCCAGATTGAGACTTCCGGACATGTTGAAAACATGTTCCTGGATTGCCGGGAAACAGCGGTTTTTCCCATTCGGACCCATGTGCTATTATCGACTGTTTGATGTACAAAGCTGGTCCATATTTAGTCAAGCATCAAAGGAAAATATGTTATCTCGAAGTCGCCTCTAGACAAGTCAGGGCACTTTTCACTTTTGGGCTGCTTTCAAAAGGAACAGGAGGTGAATCCACTTTGAACAGGTTTCAATGCTCACTTTCCAAGCATGGAAGTGGGCAGAGAGGTTCCTTGGGCGGATTTACACCGGATTTGCACCTTCCTGTCAGCTTCTATTGGTGGGAGGATATTTCAAGAACCCATTTGGTGGGCGTTAATTGCATCCAACAAATTGGGAAGCTATTCCCCCAAACTCATAGCCATTTAAACAGCTTTTTAAACCGGATTTTTGTTTGTTCCCCTTAGCCTTTGGGGATTTGTTTGAGGCTGGACAAACACCACTTCGAACTTGGATGCAACCCTGGTTGAGTTGTTTCGCATGGATGAACCCTTGAGTTTATTGGGACACCAAGATGCTCCAGGAATCAAATGGCCATGGGTTAACATCCCGTACCCCCAGTGAACATCCCAATCCCCACTAAAAGGTGCACCTACCCCAAATTGGGATCCCATTGGTTTTGACCCACAGCCAAATCTCTATTTTGACACACGCAGACACCCGTTTCATTGGTTCGAAGCATCGGTCCCTGGACGGTCGCTGAGGCCGACCTAGTCTGGAGCTGCCCATTGCCGGGCGCTCCGTGACTCCGGCGGAAAAGAGCATCGATTCGAAGCGAAACCTTGGTCTTTGAGAAAAAAGAAACAACACATGACCAACTCGGTTGCCCAAAAATCAAATCGAATCGACCAGATCTGACTAAAAGGTTTGGGTTTTCTCCTTTGTTTGGTCGCCATCTTTAGCCTCACAAGGTGAGATCACCTTTGAATCGGTTCGAACTGGCAGAGCCGGGTGTTGATCAATTCGGAGCCCTAGACATGGATGGCTTAAATCACCCATTTTGCAGAGTCCCCTATTCTTGAGAGGAACATGAGAAGTCCTGAAAAATGGGTGTTGATCGAATCGGAGGACCCCTCACAATGCTAAAAATGGACGGTTCTTTCTTGTAAAGAGACTGCACTTGGACTTTCCCATGTCCTTTGTCCACTGGAACAGCATGTGTTGATCTTAGCACATGGGGGCATGACTCTCTTTGACACCCACGCTCAATGCATGCAGCATGGTGAGCTTTATTTTTGCCGGTTGCAACTTTGCATCTGTTTGTTTTATCTAGATTGCAAATCTCGTGTTTTGCTTTCTGTGTTTGGCTGTGCACCCCAAATCCCCCGTACCCACCTCGTAACACCCCAACCAATGCACCTCTCGGGTAGCGGCTGAGCTGTGCCTGCCGCCTGTCCAGGTGATTTCGCCGGCCGGGGGCCTTCCTATCGCAGCCAGGGAACGCAACAGCTGTGCCCTGCCCATCGCGGCACGAGACCACAGCGGCAGCACAGCATCTCTTCCACTAGGCAGGTTGGGTTTGGGTAGACTGAAGCCCGTGTCAAGACAAAACTAGGGCGTTTTCTTGGGATGGATAGGCAACCCCGTGCGTGGGAACAGTACATATCGCCTTTGTGGGCCCCCCGTGCTTTTCCCAATGGGCTCGGCTCTGCTGTCCGGGGTTTGTTCAGGGGGCAACCAAAAGGAAAGCCAGCATGTTGGGGGTGGTCCCTCTATTTTGACATGGCCCAATTTGCCAAACATGGGTTGAAGTTAAATCCTATTTCCCTTTTAACCCTTTTAACCTTCAACCTGAATGACCCTGTTTCCCTTTGACTTTGGGTTTCCCTTCAAGTGCCAACTCAAAACGGTCCCATTTGGGGCTGGCGGAATGTCAGGCCGGCAGAGCACTCCAGAGCCGGCCTCCGCGACCTCTGCGGCTTCGGCCTCGGCGGCGTGCGGAGCAGGGGGGCCCAGCCGCAACCCTGGCTGAACGAAGGGAAAGCCATGTGGCTGTGGTTGCCAAAACCAATGAGATCCGATTTTGGGGTAGGATGGGGTAGGTGCACCACTCATTTCAGTCTATTTTAGTGGGGATTGGGATGTTCACTGGGGGTACGGGATTTTGACCCATGGCCATGTGGGTGGCTCCTGGTTTTTCAGATCTCCCCTTTTGGTTTGTTTGAAAGGGACATCAAAAGGGGGACTCCCTATTGTGAGAGAAACCCATGTTAGGCCTATGCATGATGTAATCATGCGGGCAGAACAACAAGTCGAGCTTGGTGCGGTTAAATGGGCTGGGCTTCTTTTCATTGCCAGTTTGACTTTTTGCCCGTCTGGTGTTGCTTCATTTTTCCTTGGCACTAAACAAAGTTGACTTCTTGCAGGGGCTCTAGGTGTGGCCCACTTGTGGGGAATGTGATGAGAGCCACAAGGAAATCAACGCTCCGCTGGTAAAGTGTTTCAAGTATGGCTCTTTGTTGACGTGATGAAACTTGCCGGACAAACATATCGCATGCGTGCTTGCATTCCCAAAGGCAAGCCTCGAAGCTAGACATTGGTGCCTGAATTTGATGTGGACATCAGTGGGATTGATTGCTCCATGGGACCCGTACGTCTCTTTGGAGGGTCTAGGAACCAGAGGCTTGCCCTCGAGGTCGCAGACAAAATGCATATATATATATATATATATACATATTGTGTGGAGCGAACTGAGAAAGAGAAATGCGCTCATTTCCGTGATTTGTCAAGCAATCCCATTCAAACTGAACAAAAAAGGACATCTAGGGATTCTCTCGACTTTACCGGCATTCGGGTCCTGTGTTGGGAGCCTGTAGGATTGTTAGTGAGAGATCACCAATGTAGAGAGAAGGTGTGGCGCTCAAGCACGTTGATTTGTGTTTGACTGCCTAACTCCAAAATTATCGGTTTTCTCTTGGATGTCCACCCTACAAGTGGTTCACGTACCCAGTTAACTCCCTAAGTGGGATCCCCAGGGGTGGTCATCGGACGCCGTGCTGAGGCTTTATCTGAGGAGTGGGAGTCCTCCAGTGAAGGGACGCCGCGAAAGCGGTTAATGACCAAGGCTAAGTCCAATCCGCAAGTCCCTGGCGCAGGCGGGAGCCAATGATCTAGGTCTGTATTGAGAGAGGTGCAAAAGGAAGCAAGGAAACCAGCCATTTCGCGTATGCCCCATGTTCAGAACCCACATCAAATCCCCAAACAGGGATGGACATGTCTGCATTTGTCCACACAAAATGGAGGCTTGGGCGCGCTTCATGGCCAATGGTCATCCCGTTTCTGCAGTGACCCATGGAGCTTGCCCACTTCAAACGCAAGCCCAAAGCGGTTCCCCGATGTTTGACCCCCCCCTCCCCCCCACCGTATTCCAAAAAGGAAAGTGGTGTGTAGATGGGAATATGTCTAAAGTTGTCAGAGAGCCAAAGGGCGTTGTTTTTTTTTGCCAGCCCTTGGTATGAATCAGCATTGCAGCCCTTGGAGCTTGAAGCGTGACTGGTATGTTCCAGTCAACTGTCATGTCGGCATGGCTCAAAACATGTTCATTCAGAAATAATCATGGAGCACCGATACTTGAGCTTTAACCTTTGGATCCATTTTTGGAGAACTCCAGTAGTTCGGATGGTCCTTTTAATGCTGGAAGCGTTCGCCACTGATTCTCTAGATGTGCGGGCGGACGTAGGCGACGAGACACCGATTTCTACAAGCCATCGGCGGATGAGCTCTGCTGTTCACTACAAAGGCGGGCATTCAGCTATGTGGGTTAAACAAGCACTCTAGCTCACCGTGCTCAAGAAGGTCCGTTTCTTGGGGTTCAGGAGTTTCCAGTGTGCGAAGTCTGGTAGTTTGCCGAGATGGCCCACACTTAACACTGGTACCAGGAACATCCTGAGCTTCGGGGGGGGGGGGGGATGAGAAGATACGCCATCTTGAGGTGCTGGGCCCGCAGCTTGGGTTGGTTTCACCCCGCTGGAGGGTGTGACCCAAGTCTGGAATTCCGGCATCTTCGGAAGGGCAAGCACGATGCCAACCCAGCCATCTTCGGAAGGTGTGACCCTTCGGGTTTGGACTTTCAACGCTCTCGGCTTTCGCAAGTACAACTTTACAACCACACCACTGAGGCAAAACGATTCCAAGACTCGCTAAATATGGTAGGATATGCTGGAAACTGCGGCATCTTGTGTTAATTCTCACTTCTCCAGTGCATCAAGTATTTCCGCCCCTGCACCCTGCAAGAGGCATTCTCAACGCTACTGGCGCGTCAGATGCAGCTTTGCCACAGGCCGTGCACCCTTGCCACTACGGCTCAAAGCATCAAAGGCATGTCAGGTTCAAGATCAGCTCTTCGATGGCGCTGGCGTCTTTGGCACGTCATTTTGGGTCTCTGTTGTCACAGGACGCTGCTCACGCTGTTCGTACCGGGCTCGCGCAACGTTTCCGGACAACGCCCGGCACTGGTGAGGTACGCGACAGGGAATGAATCGCCAACGCCGCGCCCAGCACAGGCAATTCTTTTGACACCTGGTATGGAGGAAGCAGTGGAAGCCTTCAAGAAGAAGTTCCCTCAGGTCATGGCCAAGGCCAAACCAGACTACCTGGGCACTTCCTGCAGTGAAGAGGATCTTCGCAGACGTTTCCAAAGCCTTGGGCAAACAATCGGACGAGACGAGGCTTTAGGATTAGTGTTAGGTGAGCCTTTGCTTCTAGCGATGCAGGAGGAGAATCTCAAAGCCTCCTGGGAGGCCATGCTGGAGGTGGCCAAGTCGGATCGTTTGGCCGCATTGCGGGTGGTGAGAAAGCGTCCGGGGGCTTTGATCGCACCAGCCGCAGGCTTCAAAGGGAAGAGTTTGGGTGAATTTGAGGCTGTGGCGCAGATGGAAGATGCCTTCCGACCCGCCACCGACACCTTGAAGAGTCTCGGCCCTGAGGGTATCGCCTTGGGAGCCGCCGCCTTGGGCATGGCAGCCCTGGGAGCCATGGGCGCCAAAGCGGCAGCAAGACCCCCGTTGAACTCCAAAGGAGTGACAAAGCCCAGGCGCTGAGGCAAACGAGCGAACTTCAGTCCATGAATTTGCAGTTGGGACCATGTCCACGGGATATAGCCACGGCACGTAGTCTATGAGGGTTATATCTCAAGTTGCATCCGTGGATGCACATAGAAGTAAGTAGGGGAGCTGCTGCAAGAGCCATGTGTATTGATATGTATGATTATTCAAGGGATTTGAGGCCTTCAGGGATATTGTCTGGCTTGCTCGTGTGAGGGAAGTCAGCATAGCGGGACTCGGATTGCCCCATGGCGCCTAGTACAGCGTCTCGCTAGAGTCCGTTAGACTGTGTCTCTCCGTTTCTCTTGCCGGTACATTTCCGGTTGTCAGTTCCTGGCGCATTGCGTGAAGCTGACCCGGCCCCGGCAAGGGGCTGGGGTATGCTTCACTGGCGGATTGGCTCAATGTCAGCCGATCCCCGATACAGGTTTGGAGGGTTGTCAAGGTCGGACATGGCCCAGCTTGAGAGATTATTCGAGTCTTGATGCTTCTTCCGCAAAAGAAAGACAGGCAACCTCCGGACATCTCCAGATATTTTCTGGGGGGGGGGGAAGATTTAGATGTGATTTCTGAGGGAACGTTGTCGTCAGATCATCCGGCTAGACACGTGCGGGAAAAACTGGTGGAACACAGAGTGTTGAGCAGAGGATGATTTCGCAGCTACCCAGCCACGTTTGCAGAGTTTCATCAAGACTGCAGCAAAGACATCGTTTCAGTCCCAAGGAACACCTTCGTCCAATTGCTGTCCATGGTTTTGCATGGTTGGATCCTTTGGTTTAGCTCAGCGTGATCCAAACCATTGCGACGCACATTCAAATCAGGTGGACTCAGGTAGGCACACCTGCAAACCGTTCGCCTGTGTGACCTTGGCATTTGCTGCGGAACGTATGCAGGGATGCCTGCCACAAAAGGATACAGCTTATTTGTTTGCAGATGGATTGAGTTGGTTTGTAATCGATTTGCAAAGCAGTCAAGCCGTTGAAATCCCTGAGATGGTAGTCTTTGTTTTTCAACATGGTCTACTTCTGCCCTTCAATTTTCATGTCTCGGTATCGGCTTTTCATCTGGCAGTTGACCCTTAATTCGGCTTGCAAAGCATCCAACTCGTCTGGTTCTTAGAGGGGTGCCTTTGCCAGGCTTCATCTCGCAGCACAGCTCGGATATCTCTGTCTATGACGCTTGGCATGGGATCAGTGTGGCTATGCCCGAATCCCGCGGTCGAGAAAGGCTGGACTATGTTGGTGTTAGACCAGTACCGTAAATGGGAAAGGCAGTGACATGATTTCTCTGGCAGTGTGAGACTTAACTGCAGAATGTGAAAGGACGACCATCTTATGGCCACATATTCCTGCAGAATTCTTTGGGCGAAGGTGTCAAAGTGCAATGGCAACACAGCCAAGCTGGGACAAATGCCCGAAAGGGACAGCTTTGGATGAGCGTGTATATCAGTATTAGTATATAGGTGGTTGTCTTGTTTGAAAAGCACAACTCTGACAGGATGCTAAATCCTTGAGTGTGAAGATGAGTTAGGAGTAAGTAACCAAGGGTTTTGTTCGATGCCTGTCACTAATCGACGGCCTTCTGCATTTGACATGTCATGTGTGGTGAAGTGCTTCTTGCAAGCAATCCGGTGCACGAAATCATAGATCATTCCCGTAAATCATTGGACCAAGCTTGCTTGCAAAAGCGAACATCCATGAGCAATCCCACCAAGAGCATAGAGCAGCAACATGCTCGGGGTGTACACTGCAAATTTCCGAGCCCTGAAACAAACCGCCCTTTTTGTAGAGGAGTCTTGTGTGGGGAATGGCAGGTTACCTTGCGAAGTGAGCTATTCGCATGGCTAATTCTGGCATCCATTCGGTAATATCTTCTCCAGGGCCTTTGTGGTTGGGTTTTTGGTGGATGCTATTGGCACCCTTTCCGAGAGAAAGAAGAGGCTCACCCTTTGAATTTCCCACACCAGGGTCGGATAAATCAGTGCAAGCCAATGTAGGATGATCAATGCCGCCCAAATCCCCTTAAAAAGGATTTTATCCTTCGCTCACGTCCCACCTACCTCTTGTCCACTGGTTTGGACACTGTTGGACCCGCGCCTCAAGCGGACTTCCCATCCCCCAGCTGAATCCTCTGGCCGAGGACCGCTATGACTTCGGCAACCTCCTGGGGGAGGGCGCAGCCGGCTCCACCTGGGAGGCACCCTTCGTGCAGCCCGCCGCTGAAGCCATAGAACTTGCGGATAACTTTGGCAACCAGTCATTCCAGTAAAAGGAAGTTTAGGAACTTCCGTGTTACGGAGGTAGCTTTGCACACCCCATCTTCGTGGAATCCAGGCTCGCATGGCTTGCAGGGCGCCGCTCGGTTGGAGACCAGGTTTGGGGTTAGTGATGGTCATACACCTGGAAGGGATGTCAGATCTATCAACCCGTTAAGTGGGAAGGAGGTTTAGACAGCTTTGGCCACGACGCAGAGTCAGGAAATTAGTGGAACCCCAATCCAAAAGCAAGGGGTTTCCGTCGCTTCCTGTAGAGTTCCAAGGTTGCTCACTCAAGACCCAAGTCGAGGAACCCTAGGGAAGATGATTGCTCCACTTGGTAAATTGGTGAAATTCCCTCAATTGCTGGGGAAGAACCCCTGCGTTTCCTTCTCCTGCCCATCGTTACCTTACTCAACAGCTGAGGTGACACCTGTTCAGCATTTCTCATTCGCAGGGCCACCTTTCTTTAGCCCGAAGTTATTGCTCGAGAGGAGAAACCCCACAGATGCCTGGCTGAGTGTTTTTCCTTGTCTTATTACTCATAAAGGATCGGGGGGTTCTCAGTTTTCAGTGTTGGGAAACCATTGTGCTGCAAGATAAGGCAGAAGGACGACGGGCTGCTTGACAATCCAGGAGATGTTGCTTGATAGCGTCGAGGCCCCATCGTTGATAGACAAAAGGTGGAGGACGACGGTGCTGTGGATTGCATCACTGGAATGCAGGTTGGAAGTGACCATCACCCAACACCTCTGAAGGCGTTGCCAGGTCTCCGTTTGAATTTCCGCCGAAGCATTCTAGGGCATCCGCTCCATAGTTTCCACAGGGTTCCACGACCATAGATGTTGACCATTGGCGTGGAGAGTTTCGCCCCTACACGCTTTCACCTGACACGTTTTCACCCGGAACGCACACAGCCCGGGGCCCGGCCTGCGCCATCCCGCGCCGAACAAAAATCTCGGGGATCCGCGAGGCCTTTCCGAAGGTGCGGGAGGGCGCGCGGCCGAGATCTCTTAGTGGCCAGGCCGGATGGGTTCCGAGGGTTGATTGCAAACAGGCTGGATACCTTTTTTTGAGCTTTAAAGGGGGGTTCCAACAGGAAGCATTCCAGCATATTGTCAGGTCGCTGCATGACTGTCAAGAGCAACACAAGTTTCAACATGTTTCAACAAGGCCACGGGCTCGACTGCAATCTCCTCCCAAGAAAAATCGGTGTGATCATTTTCCGGTAGGGGTCCAAGGCTCAAGGCAATGGCTATGACGAGGATTGGTACCTGCATGACCTCTGTCCTTTCGCAGGTGGAAGCTATCCGCAAGTTGTTCACTGAAGCGGTTCCGGGTGCCAGGACGCGGCCAGGGCCATCAAGAAAGTCCTTAAGCGCCGAGTCTACAACTCGACGGAGAGCTTTTTGGCAGAAGTCGAGGCTGGGCCCAGCGATGCCTCGAGGTACATTGTGGGAGGCGCATCTTCCCAAAGATGCCTCGAGGTATTTGTTGGTGTTCCAGGCTAGTCTGCAAGGGTGTTGCAAGGCCTTCTCTTCCAAATATTTCAATCCGGCTTTCACGCGAGCCCATTGTTGTCTTGAAAGTTGTGGCTATGATCTGTCTTGTTTATGGTAGATGTAGTACCGGGAGTACATTTGTTTGCGCATCACATTATGCTGCTGCTGCTGCTGCTGCTGATGATGATGATGATGATGATGATGATGATGATGAATGAATGAAGATAGCGATGATGGTGGCGATGATGCTGCTCTTTCAATTTGTCAAAAGCGAGACGTTTTGTTCGGACATGCCACATGTGTTGTGCTGTGGACTTTTTGTTTAGCGACCAACCGCGGGTTCTTATGCTCCTTTGGTGTCCTTTGTCACTGATCCTGAGTCCCGAAACTGGAGTCGCGGGCAGGTCTTGAAGCAGCTGGACCATCCAAACATTTGCAAACTGTATGCCCCTTGGCACGTGAGCGGATAATGGGAGCGGAGAACTTTTGGGTTTAGACGGGGTCCCATCTTGGAGGTGAAGCCTCACTTTTTGCAGGAACACCCTCTAACAGTCCAACCAGGTTGATTAAGCTGGGGCCAACATCATCATTGTTCCAATAACAATCATGGAAGTGGACAAGGGGCCAAGAAGAGAATAGTCTTTCGAAACCCTCTTGTTCACTTCCATGCTTGCTGGAAGGAGGGTAGACAACTGAATCGGTGAGCTCAGAAATGAACGCTATTTATACTTAAAGTAATGTGTTTTGGTGGCGGGCCCATTCAAGATGTCTTGGGGGTCCCTATATCAGGCTGATGCATGGCACTTCATTCGGAGATACCACAAAGAAACTCGGAGGTCTCTGAACTAGTTCCCTTGGCTGAAAGGATCTGTCAGGTTTCATGCTGAGGTATAGACGTCTGAAAATTCGTGGCAACCCATCCAAAAAATGTTGTTCGATTGATCTACTCTTGGGGAACCCTTTCTGGGGTTCCTTGCCGATTTGCAGTGAGAGAAAAGTGCAACTTACAACATTGACTCGCAACTCGCCATCAGCGACCCCTACATTTTGTGATGCGGCAGCAACAACGCAAGGGATCAAATGGTTTGGCTGTGTGGCGCCTGCAAATGGGTGTGTTTTAGGAATAGTGGAACCCCTTCTGGGAGCACTAGCCCCGTGGCATGGCGCTCTAGACTGTCCTGTTGTCTGACATCAAACATACGGTCGTTGGTAGCCTGCACCTACCGCCATTCACCGAATTG